CCCTGGCGGTCGCAACTTCTGCACACGCTTTGAGCAGCTGGGCACTGGGAGGCATTATGCTGTCTCGCACAGCTGTTACACAAAGCTGCTGCTGAAGGTGTAGCTGGAGGGTGAGGGGTGGGGTTACCTTGCTGCTTCTTACCCTTTCTGTAGGAAGACACTGCCCTCACCTGGTCAGGCTGTGAGCGTAAAGCTGAAGTCGCACACCTGGCGGCCTCGTACGCTCGACATTTCGTAACAACATCTTGAAGGGAGGAAGTGGGGTCGAGGGAAATGAGACGCTGAACTAGCTCTTCATCTCGGACACCCGTTAAGATAATTGTCTTAAGTTGTGTTTCTTCACAGACTTGAGAATGTCCGGGACAAACATCAACTTCCTCTGAACACCTTTTGAGCCTTACAAAAAACGCGTCAAAAGATTCTCCATCAAGCTGTTTACATTGGAGGAGTTGTCTTCTCCTGAGTGCTTCGTTGCGCTGTCCCTTGACGTGTTCCTGCAACTTGTCGAGCACGGCCTCTACCGTCAGAGTTGTCGTAGGAGGCACTTGAAGTGTGTGCTCGAGAGTACGTTGTGTCTCTAAGGACAAGCACATACGAAGCTGGATCATTTGTTTCGGCTGTGATAAACTGGACAAGTCAACCATTGTTGCGTAGTCTTGCCAACGTCGACGCCATTCCCGAAACATCTGATAAGAAGCGTCAGACATCAGAGAGGGAGGCGTCTGTACAGCAGCCTTTTGAGGTGTTGTTCCGACTCTGGAAAATGAGGTACCAGTACCTCTAGTCGCATCAACATCAGTTGTAGCAGACGAATCTTGTACGGTAGAACGTTGTGGGGAGGCTAACAGAGAAATCAAAGCTTCAAATCTGGCTTGATCCTCCTGTCTTCTAAGGTCATCCTCACGTCTACGTATGTCTTCGAGTTCTCTGCGTGTTTGTTCCTCTTTGTGGCGTCGTCTTTCAGACTCTTTGTACCTAATTTCTTCCTCTTCTCTCCTTGCCATATCGTCCTGGCGTCGAGAAGTTTCCATCCACTTTATCAGTTGAAGGAGATCTGTGGACGCATGTATCGCAGGAGAGCTGGCTCGCGACGAGCGAGGAGATTCTGTGGGTGATTCGGCACTGTCACTGTGGGGGGCGTGGGGCGTAATCGTGGGTGGGGAGATGTCTCCCACACTAAAACTCGTAGCCCCATCGTCCAGGGTATCGTTATGATCCCTGTGAGACATGCCGACTGCTTCTGTACTCTATCTGTGCAAAAGATCGGGTCAGTCCCTCGTAATCTATGCACAGAATTACAGAAGTTTACAGTAAGTCACCAGAAATATAAGGGGAATGCGTGTGTGTGTGTGTGTGTGTGCCTGGCGGGAGGGGAGAGACTTGGCGCGCTGCCAGACGTAGGAGCGAGTGGCCAGCGTCGGCTAGCTCCTCAGTCACCCTCAGACCAGAGACGGGAGAGCATGTACTGTCGGGCCGCTCCCTTAGTCAGCTGACTGCAACTTGCACAGACAATTATGACTAAAATACACAGCACAACACTTCACAAAACACTTCACTTCACAGCACAGCACTGTACACAGCATAGCACTTCACAACACTGTAAGTCTAGAGGCTTGTAGTAGTCTTGCTGTCGGCTGAAGTGGAAGAGACGCCATAAACAGAGTCCGGGCGGGAAGGCTTGGTCCACTGCATCTCACTGAGAAATAATCACTGCGCCATCTAGCGTATTGCCAGATACCCAAAGAATGTTCTATACTACTGAGGGTATATACAAACACTTGTTGTCTTTAAAAGTAGGTTCTATTCTCGTACGGGAGATAATATTACAGAGGACACAGGAAGCCTGTGGGCACACCACCAGGACTCAGTCTTAACTACCTCTACATCTATCTATGTATTACTACGCGCTGGCCTATACTGATGCCAGCATTCACAAGCTGAATACATAAAGTATAAATGTGATAATTTATATACATAATATGGTGCACAATAAATGGAATATTACATAGAATTAATACATGTTCTGTAATACTTTACTATACATAATTAATAAGAGTAATATAATAATATACAGCTGAAGGCACTACTTTGTGTCCATATATATGATGGTACATGCACACAATTAATACTTAAGAGAAATAGAGAAATACAGTCGCTAAGTTAATGTCCATTCAAATAATGGACTCAACTCCCTCCCCCTCTTCTCACACTACACTCGCTGGCTCTTCCCTCTCTGAGAAATTTTGGGGGGAAAACCAGGTATAGTAATAAATAATACCTCAAACTAAAGTTAGGATAATATAATTGACATTGCTGGATTCCTTGAAAGACCAGGAATATTTTGAATACAAATGTCATATATTTTGCACAAAATATAGCATACAGTGGGGTATGCTACAACGAACGGATCCTACTACGAATATTCCTATAACGAACGGTTTTACCTATAAAATTGAGAATGCTATAACGAACGAAACTCCTACAACGAACATTATTTAAAATTTTAATTTTTTTTTAATAATTTATTGTTTTTTATAACAAGTATTAATGATATTCTTTATTTCAGGGGTTTAGATGCATATTTATGCACTTTTTTACAATTTTTACAATTTTATTATATTTTTCAGTGTTAAGTGGTTGTATTTGGGGGCCTGGAACGGATTAATCCTATAACGAACGAATGCTATAACGAACAAGGTTCTAGAACCAATTAGATTCGTTATAGCATGCCCCACTGTATTTACTCAGAGTAAACATTATATCTAAAATTTGTATGTCTAATGCAAAATCTATGATGTTTATATTCAAAATGATCATCAAATTGTAAGAATTCCAGCAATGTAAATTATATTCTGGCTGGGTAATTTGTATGAATTTTATGAGCTAAAACAAATATCTTCAGTTAATAAAAAAAAAAATGTTCTTCACGACACTATCTGTCAATGAAAGTACCCCACCTTGCCTCCCCCCCCTCTTCCAACCGGGCCAGATGGTCGGTCCGTCCCAACCCTCCCCCCACCCCCCACCAATCCTCCCTTCAAGAGAAAGGTTGGGTGAAAAAACTAGATTTTAACATTTAGTAATAAATAATACCTCAGATTAAAGTTAGGATAATATAATTGACATTGCTGGATTCCTTGAAATACCAGGAATATTTTGAATACAAATGTCATATATTTTGCACAAAATATAACATATTTACTCAGAGTAAACATTATATCTAAAATTTGTATGTCTAATGCAAAATCTATGATGTTTATATTCAAAATGATCATCAAATTGTAAGAATTCCAGCAATGTAAATTATATTCTGGCCGGATAAATTGTATGAACTTTATGAGCTAAATAAAAAAATTATACTTCACCCGTGTAAAGGGGTACACCCACCGCGGAATGTGAGCATCCTGGGTTCTGGCAGGGCACTGTGTAAACGTGGAAACGCGGAATGTGGGACAGCGTAAAGCGAGGGTTGACGGTACTCACAAAATTAACAACAATAAACAAGACGGCCACGTTGGTTGATGTTGACCTGCTACATCTTGTCCGATTCTCTCTCTTATCTTTCAGTAACTACAAGTTTTCATTATTAAACTATAATAAAAGTATTTTATTAACCCTTTAGGTCTGTCAATTAAATTTGGCGCGGTTCACAAAAAGTGTCAATTATCCTGCCAAAATGAATTTCATATAATCACATTTTCTATATGTTTTCCTAGAAAGAACTTTTAGTATATTTTCCAAATCTGAACAAAAATTCACATATGTGTGCAAATTTTAGAAAAATGACATTTATACCCAAAAAATGCAGGAAATTGGTATAAATCAATGTCGCAGTATATGGCAAATAATTTAATTAATTTAGTTTACTAAACAGCAAATTTAGATAATAGCATTACATATTCAGACAATATCAAACAAAATAGTACAAAAATAAGCTATATTGCATTCAGGAAATGCTCCTATACCTCAATACATAATATGTCATGTAGTCTCATTTTGGGAAGTTTTCAAGGCCGTGGGATATCCAGCTTGTCGCATTTAATTAATATAATATTTTGTGCGGGTTTACCATACACATCAAAGAGGGTTAATAAATATTACATAATATAAATAAATCATACTTTCATTATAATGTTTTATTATTGATTAAATTCCCGCTAATAGATATATATTAATATTAAACTAAACTTAAGTCAGTGGCTGCTGAACCGAATAGCTTGACAGCATTTACAATTTTACTAAAATGAATTTAAACAATAACATTTTGTGTTTAACTATTTTAAGTTTATTTATTAATATTCTATTAATATATAACACTACAGTATGTAGATTCAGTTAACGAACGACTCCGTGGAACCAATTGTGTCGGTTAATGGAGGGACCACTGAAGATATTTTAGCGACCCTCCCTGGTGACAACCTTAACCTAACGTGGGTCAACACTCCACTATCCACCTATATGAACCTTCATTAACGTGGAACAAGTCCATTATAAGAACAATTCACTGGACAATACTCACGGCAGTAGGTATAACCTGTAATATTTGATCACTAACTTGAACTATCATCATTATTGTTGTGGAATGTTCCTAAAAGTACAGTAATTATTTTCCTATTATACAGTACAGCATTAATTAATGCCAAGATTGATGCCATAAAACTATATCTAAGTATAACTTAACCCAAATAAAATACCCCATTTGTTTGTAAAGTTTCCTGGCTTTTCCATGCCGTCGACACCCCAATAGTCTACAGTATATTATTTATAAAACATATATGAAGGCCTTTTAATAAAATACGGGCAAAGCCTAAGTAATCTACTTTAGATATCTAATTGTTTCAAAAAGTCATTAACACAATAACTAATTTGTGAAACTAGACTTAAAATCAGGTAAAGTAGTACCCTGTACCTTTGTAGGATATTTAAACTATTTTTTTACCCCAAGTGCTGAAGACAAAGGTATTAGGTCAACCATATTTGACAAATATTTTGACACCGTGAAACTAACTTCATACAGTAAAGATGGTCAACATATTTAAGACCATCCATAAAGGCCTTTTAAAACTTACGGGCACAGCGTAATCTACATAAAATATCTAATTATTTCAAAGGTCATTAACATAATTACTTGAATTTTTAAACAGTGATCCCAGATCCTTCATAAAAACTAAAACCACAAAGATATACACTGTACTGTACCTTATGTTACAGCAGAGAGTTTCCAATGTGGTGCAGCATGAGACCCGTTAACCAAAACAAACCTTCATCTTGTGGCCCATATCTTACATCTTCACGTCACCGTCCTGGAATGAATAACATTTTAACAACTAATAAATTAAATACTCTGGGCAGTAATATTATATAATATGTATACAGTACTGTACAGTATTATATTATACAGGAACTCATTAAATCTTCAAACATTTTAATACAATATTATGGTTAAATTAAGGCATTTCCATAAACCTTTTTAAAGAAAATAAAGAAACACTTTAGAAAATCTTACCTCGACCAATGACACGAGGAACTTCATTAACCATGATCAGCGAGGCTGCAATATGGTAGTTGTCTTAACACTACAGTAACAGCGTATTGGAGCCGTCAACTGTAAACAAAATAACCCTGTCACTCTTTTTGTAGAAACTCAGATAATTTTCTGTTTCAACATGTTAAGAGACGAAACAACCTTCTAAAGGATTGCCAACACGGTTTTATGCCGGGGCACTCCTGTTTAACACAATTGCTCAAGGTATTGGGTACTTGGACCCATATTCTGGAACGGGGTGGTAATATCGACAATATTTACCTAGATTTTGCCAAGGCTTTCGACAGTGTACCCCAAGAAAGGCTGAAAATCAAACTGGAAGGGTACGGAATTCGGGGAAATGTCCTAGCGTGGATAGAAGACTTTCTCCATGACCGCAAGCAGTGTGTGGTGATTAATGGCACGAAATCGTCATCCGTACCTGTCACAAGCGGGGTACCACAGGGCAGTGTATTGGCCCGCTGTTGTTTGTTTGTTTCATAATGACATGCCTGACGTTGTACACTCCTCCATACAAATGTTTGCTGATGACGCCAAGTTATTTCGGGAAACCAAGAACCAAGCAGACTGTGAAGAGCTGCAGAAGGACCACAAGTTAACTCTGGTCAACAACTTTCTTAATACCACTTACTAGTCACTAATGGATAACACCTGGTAAATTCATAAGTTATATCCCACTGCCATAAGGGTTTAATTATCTATAAACGTCGATATTGTGAAGCGTCTTGTGATTTTTCCTTTCCCAGAGAATTAAAATACCATCGAAGACATGATTTGGTTAGATTAGGATCCCACCAAATAGTGACAAAAATAATAACCTGAAATTTTACAGTAAAGTTCCCAAAATGTCTCAAAAGCTAATTTTTTACTACAAACTGTAATTTAACCATAAATAAAAAGTACCACATTCTTATAACCAATTTCTTTTACTTCAATTAAATAAAAAAAGAACCAAATACTTCCTCAAAAATTTTTTTACTTCAATTAAATAAAAGAATCTTTCCCAAAATAAAAATGACCCAAAATCCCACCTTGGTTAATATATGGGACTAACCCGCCATAGTGCCAATGCTGCTGTATCATCTCACATCCAGAAAATGTCTCAAATATCACCGTATAGTAAGTTTTATCTGTTTAATATACCGGGGAAGTTAGGTTAGGTAGGTTTGTTTGGTTAGGTTTGTCCTTCATAACCACAAATGTTAAGCAGCGTTTATTTAAAAAACATCCATTTACTAACATTACCACAAACAGTGTTCACTATAATATAACAATGAAAATCTGACGTTTTTATAATAGTTATCAATCCATTTTGCTCTTGGGTTAGTCCTATATAATTACCCCCACCTCAATTGGACGACACAAAGATCTTAACTACCATCAACTTTAACGATCCATGAGGCTGTAACGAGGTGGTTGTCTCCTCCATCTTAAACAGTGACAAGTAATAAATTGTATAAAAATTAGAATAATGACTGTTATTGCCGATGGCTTCAGCTACAGTGCTGGCGTGTGATGCCATTAAATCTTTTGACCCGTGACCTTGCCAGATGTAGAAGTGTTTACAGACAAGTCCTGGCTCTGCTGAGTGGACTGTCTTCGGCGGGTGGTGGTGGTGCCCGCCCCGCCATGAGACAGATCGCTCACTCTCGTGAGGCTGTGAAGACCAGCCTTCTGCTGGCACTGATGAACACCGACTCATAATCCTGTCTGAGAATTTGTGTTGGGACAATTTACTCAGTACTGTTGTCTCTTGGAACACCATACTGATCTGCATTGACCTGCACTTGTAAGTACAGCCAAGTGATGACATACCCCTCGGTACTGAAATATTGTTGACTAATTACACCTACTCGTTTCTGCCTTATCTGGAGTAATAAGACAATGCAGAATGAAGCATAACTAAGATTACTAGAGTTATGAACTTTGTGTTATGTCACTATGTTTAATAAATAGTAATTAAGAAAAAATTGTGTGAGACTAACTCATTATGTATCAGATGGACCACCATGTAATATTATGAACATCGCCTCTGTAGGTTTTGAGCACATCAATAAATATTGAATGAGTCAAAAGGAGAGTTTCAATCATTCCCTTCGACTTGCCCGTCACCTGAACGACCTTAACCAAGGCGTTTACAGTTATGTAATATACACATATCAATTAGTGTATTGTGCATAATGAATATATTTCTGAATATCTTTTAAGAGTTGTGAGGGATAAAAGCTTCACCCATTCTACTCTCACTGCACAGTAAGTCAGTGAAGAGTTGTTGATTGAAGGAAATTGTGAATATTTAAGTTTTAATGAAGAATGGTTAGGTTAGGTTATGTGAAGACATTCATAAGCCGGAACACAGGCTATATATACAGTGGGGTATGCTATAACGAACGGATCCTACTACGAATATTCCTATAACAAACGGTTTTACCTATAAAATTGAGAATGCTATAACGAACGAAACTGCTACAACGAACATTATTTAAAAAAATTTTTCTCACTAATTTATTGATTTTTATTACAAGTATTAATGATAGTCTTTATTTCAGGGGTTTAGATGCATATGCATGCACTTTTTTACAATTTTTACAATTTAATATTATATTTTTCAGTGTTAAGTGGTTGTATTTGGGGGCCTGGAACGAGCGAATCCTATAACGAACAAATGCTATAACGAACAAGGTTCTAGAACCAATTAGATTCGTTATAGCATACCCCACTGTATATTTATATATTTTTTTTTATGGGTAATAGTCCAACAAGCCACAAGTCACCAACCCACCCGGCCACAGGTCACCAACCGACCCGGCCACAGGTCACCAGCCCAACCCGGCCACAGGTCACCAACCGACCCGGCCACAGGTCACCAGCCCACCCGGCCACAGGTCACCAGCCGACCCGGCCACAGGTCACCAGCCGACCCGGCCACAGGTCACCACCGGTCTGGGTCACCAGCCCCACCCGGCCTGAGTCCTGGCCCACCCGTACAGGTCACCAGCCCACCCGGCAACAGGTCACCAGCCCACCCGGCCTGGGTCACCAGCCCACCCGGCCACAGGTCACCAGCCCACCCGGCCACAGGTCACCAGCCCACCCGGCCACAGGTCACCAGCCACCCGGCCACAGGTCACCAACCCACCCGGCCTGGGTCACCAGCCCACCCGGCCTGGGTCCTGCCCACCCGGCCACAGGTCACCAGCCACCCGGCCTGAGTCACCAGCCACCCGGCCACAGGTCACCAGCCCACCTGGCCACAGGTCACCAACCCACCCGCCACAGGTCACCAACCCACCCGGCCACAGGTCACCAACCCACCTGGCCACAGGTCACCAACCCACCCGGCCACAGGTCACCAACCCACCCGGCCACAGGGTCACCAACCCACCCGGCCACAGGTCACCAACCCACCCGCCACAGGTCACCAACCCACCCGGCCACAGGTCACCAACCCACCCGGCCACAGGTCACCAACCCACCCGGCCACAGGTCACCAACCCACCCGGCCACAGGTTATATCAATGTACACCGCCAGACTGTACACCGCCAGAGTAGCGACCCGTTTAGAGGAGTATTGATTTGTATGGAAACACAGAAGAAGGCAGGGCGCCCAACAGTGTGAGGAAAGAAGGATGTACTCATAATGGGTTATTATTATAGTGTGACCCACATCCACACTGTGGCAAGACACCAGCCCACGTGTACACAGGATGCTACTTGTTACCAGAGGCTCTTTACTGTATAATTGAATCAATGTTGAGAGAAAAACCTAACCTAACCAAACCTAGCCGGGTTACTAATACCAGTATTATTCATCTTTGTTTGGTAATGAATATTGATGCCGGGTCCTGATTATGTCAACAATTGTATGGCAATTGTTCTTCCTCTATGAATCTTTTGTTATCATCTGACATCACAGCCAGGTTGTAACATTGAAAAATTACAAATCATTATAATTTGACCATAATTATAATAATAAAAAGTAACTTTGCTCGTGAACTGGAAGAAAAAAACGGAACAGATTACCAGATCCGGTTCAAGCCGCATGTTCTGAAATTGCGGCACAACCACCGCAAGAAATCTAGGCTCAAGGAACTCCGGGACCAAGACACCTAAGTCGAGCTCAAATCCCAGGCTCAAACTACCGCCCCGAATTTGGGCCTATTGACAGGTGGACAACTATAGACAGAGAGACAACTAGATGGGAGAAACAACAAAATGTACTATAAGTAATATTTCACATAGTGTGTTGTGTTACACCAGGTGGAGAGGTGAGAGGCAGCCGCTTCACTACCTCCAACTGGTTGCTGCCCCAAGTTTGTAAGTCATATTAACTATAATTAAAATTTATTATTATATTTTCATCAATAAGTTTTGATATGGCCATACTTTTAGGTAATTGCTTCGTTTCCGGTGGAGTTAATTAGGCATCGAAGCAGAACTACTTTGTTCTGGCTATCATCACTTGTCTCGGTGGTACGCGGCGTACAATAAAGCCAATCATCTCCACTCAACGCCAGTCACCAGTGTAGGCTTGGCGAGCCACACAGATCAGGCGTGTGCTGCTCTCAGGTTTTTCGTCCACAAAACGTCAAATTACAATCTTCTCAAGCACAGGTGCCTTTCTGTTTAATATGCCGGGGTTCTGAAAAGGTTATTATTAGGGTTAGGTTAGGTTAGGTTAGATCAAGTTTGTTTTGGTTAGATGGGCAAGGTCTTCTAACAATGCTTCTGCCACCACCTCTTTGTCATCGCAACATACTAGGTTAGGTTAGGTTAGGTTAGGTTAGGTTAGGGTTTGGTTTGGTTTTGGTTATAGGGTTGGCGCGTCTTCTACCAAATGATTCGCCAATTTGCTTTGTTATCAAATATGGTTAGGTTAGGGTTAGGTTAGGCTACGCCAATGCTAATTAGAAATAACCAAGTTTTAACACATTTTACATAACTGGGACAGTGTTCACTACAAAACAGTGAAATTAAACGTTTTAAATTTGTTTAATATTGGAGGTGTGCTAAGTGTTGCAGTAGTGGGTGCTGCTTCTGGTAACACGTGTGTTGGTGGTGACTCCAGTGACCTCAGCTGGCAGGTAAGTGTTGCAGTAGTGGGTGCTGCTTGTAACATGTGTTGGTGGAGACTCAGTGACTCTCAGCTGTTAAGTATGCAGTAGTGGGTGTTCCTTCTGGTAACATGTGTGTTGGTGGTGACTCAGTGACTCTCAGCCGGTGCTAAGTGTTGCAGCAGTGGGTGCTGCTTCTGGTAAACATGTGTTGGTGTGACTCAGTGACTCTCAGCTGGTGTTAAGTAAGCTGCGGGTAGCGGGGTAAGCTGCTTCTGGTACATGTGTTGGTGGTGACTCAGTGACTCAGCTGGTGCTAAGTGCTGCGTGCAGTGGGTGTTGCTTCTTGCAACATGTGTTGGTAGTGACTCTCAGCGGGGTTAAGTGTTGCAGTAGTGGGTGTTGCTTCTTGGTAACACGCGGTTGGTGGTGACTCAGTGACTCTCAGCTGGTGTTAAGTGTTGCAGTAGTGGGTGCTGCTCTCTTCTGGTAACATGTGTGTGTTGGTGGTAATCGCAGTGACTCAGCTGGTGTTATGGTGCAGCAGTGGGTGTTGCTTCTGGTAACATGTGCTGGTGGTGACCCAGTGACTCTCAGCTGGTGCTAAGTGTTGCAGTAGTGGGTGCTGCTTCCTGGTAACATGTGCTGGTGGTGACCCAGTGACTCTCAGCTGGTGCCAAGTGCCGCGGTGCAGTGGGTGTTGCTTCGGGTAAGCCATGTGTTGGTGGTGACTCAGTGACTAGCTGGTGCTAAGTGTTGCAGTAGTGGGTGCTGCTTCTGGTAACATGTGTTGGTAGTGACTCTCAGCGGGGTTAAGTGTTGCAGTAGTGGGTGCTGTTTGGTAACACGCGGTTGGTGGTGACTCAGCACCTCAGCTGGTGCTAAGTGCTGCAGCAGTGGGTGCTGCTTCTGGTAACATGTGTTGGTGGTGACTCAGTGACTCCAGCTGGTGTTAAGTGGTGCAGTAGTGGTGTTGCTTCTGGTAACATGTGTTGGTGGTGACCAGTGACTTCAGCTGGTGCTAAGTGGGTTGCAGTAGTGGGTGTTGCTTCTGGTAACATGTGTTGGTGTGACTCAGTGACTCTCAGCTGGTGTTAAGTGCTGCGGTAGTGGGTGTTGCTTGCAACAAGCAAAAGTTGGTGGTGACTCAGTGACTCTCAGCTGGTGTTAAGTGTTGCAGTAGTGCGGTGTGCTGCGTTTCCTTGGTAACATGTGTTGGTGGTGACTCAGCTGGTGTTAGTGGGTGTTGCTTCTGGTAACATGTGCTGTGCACTCAGCTGGTGCCAGTGGCAAGCGTTTCTGGCAACATGTGCTGCAGTGACTCTTCAGCTGGTGCTGCTGCCAGTGGTGCAGTGGGTGTTGCTTCTGCAACACCGTAAGTTGCGCTGACTCAGCTTGGTGTTAGGGGTGCCGCTTCTGGTAACATGTGTTGGTGGTGACTCAGCTGGTGTTAGTGGGGTGTTGCTTCTGGTAACATGTGTTGGTGGTACCGTTTCGGTAAGCGAAGTGTTGCAGTAGTGGGTGTTGCTTCTGGCAACATGTGTGTTGGTGGGAGACCCAAAGTGACTCTCAGCTGGTGTTAAGTGTTGCAGTAGTGGTGTTCCTTCTGGTAACATGCATGTGTTGGTGGTGCACTCAAAGTGACTTCAGCTGGTGTTAAGTGTTGCAGTAGGTGGTGTTGCTTGGTAATACAGGGCAGGGTGGACTCATGGGACTCTCAGGCTGGTAAGCAAGTGTTGCAGTAGTGGGTGTTGCTTGGTAACATGTTGGTGGTGACTCAGTGACTCAGCTGGTGCTAAAGTGTTGCAGTAGTGGGTGCTGCTTCTGCAACATGTGTTGGTAGTGACTCAGCTGGGCTGGGTGTTGCAGCAGCGGGTGCTGTTTGGTAACACGCGGTTGTGGTGCACCTGTGCGACTCTCAGCTGGTGTTAAGTGTTGCAGTAGTGGGTGTTGCTTCTGGTAACATGTGTTGGTGGTGACTCAGTGACTCTCAGCTGGTGTGTGTTGCAGTGGCGGGTGTTGCTGCTGGTAACATGTGTTGGTGGTGACTCGGTGACTCTCAGCTGGTGTTAAGTGTTGCAGTAGTGGGTGTTGCTTCTGGTAACATGTGTTGGTGGTGACTCAGTGACTCTCAGCTGGTGTTAAGTGTTGCAGTAGTGGGTGTTGCTGCTGGTAACATGTGTTTGGTGGTGACTCAGTGACTCTCAGCTGGTGTTAAGTGTTGCAGTAGTGGGTGTCGCTGCTGGTAACATGTGTTGGTGGTGACTCAGTGACTCTCAGCTGGTGTTAAGTGTTGCAGTAGTGGGTGTTGCTTCTGGTAACATGTGTTGGTGGTGACTCAGTGACTCTCAGCGGGTGTTAAGTGTTGCAGTAGTGGGTGTTGCTTCTGGTAACATGTGTTGGTGGTGACTCAGTGACTCAGGGTGTTAAGTGTTGCAGTAGTGGGTGTTGCTTCTGGTAACATGTGTTGGTGGTGACTCAGTGACTCTCAGCTGGTGTTAAGTGTTGCAGTAGTGGGTGTTGCTTCTGGTAACATGTGTTGGTGGTGACTCAGTGACTCTCAGGGTGTTAAGTGTTGCAGTAGTGGTTGTTGCTTCTGGTAACATGTGTTGGTGGTGACTCAGTGACTCTCAGCGGGTGTTAAGTGTTGCAGTAGTGGGTGTTGCTTCTGGTAACATGTGTTGGTGGTGACTCAGCTGGTGTAGTGGGTGTTGCTTCTGGTAACATGTGTTGGTGGTGACTCAGCTGGTGTTAGTGGGTGTTGCTTCTGGTAACATGTGTTGGTGGTGACTTTCAGCTGGTGTTAAGTGTTGCAGTAGTGGGTGTTGCTTCTGGTAACACGTGTTGGTATTGACTCAGCTGGTGTTAGTGGGTGTTGCTTCTGGTAACATGTGTTGGTGGTGACTCAGCTGGTGTTAGTGGGTGTTGCTTCTGGTAACATGTGTTGGTGGTGACTCTCAGCTGGTGTTAAGTGTTGCAGTAGTGGGTGTTGCTTCTGGTAACATGTGTTGGTGGTGACTCAGCTGGTGTTGCTTCTGGTAACATGTGTTGGTGGTGACTCTCCATCAAGTAAGGCCGCTGGCTGACTGAGTCTGTTTTAACAACAACAGTAGTGACACTGTCCCTACACTCTCCATGTGCACCAACAACTGGTGGTAGTGACACACATTACCCACCAACAGACAGTACTGTACTAGACAGGTAACACGTCTTACTAAAGTACCACGGTTCACCTTGGCTATATATAAGTTAATAAACAACTCACAGTGACGTAGTGAAGTATTAAATCCTCCAAGTTTGTATTTTAATTAACACATTTTGGTCGACTTAATGTTTACAAGTGAGGCTATGAACACTGTTAATAACTTACCACGAACAACTCAACTTTACCTAATATAATAATATAAACTAACATCACATAGTTTAAACAATTATTATTTACCTAATATTATCAGGAAAAACAAACTTTACTCTACTACTGATACACTTTTAAATAATTGTATTACATCTACTTATTATTGTATTATAAACAGAACACTAAGTAATATTAAGCCATCATCAGGTAGTTATCGTGACACTAATTGATAATAAACTATCACCAGGAAGTTATAGTAACACTGAGGAATAATTAACTATCATCAGGTAGTTATGTTAGGTATATATTAGTTAGTTGAGGCTAAGCAATAAATAATTTAGTTCGTGGTAATAATATAACACTGATCAGCTCCCATCCACTCCTCCCCCCAGTACCAAGGAAAGTACTTTATATACTTTCTTTGGCCGATAATTTTACATATATATTCATTAGCCTCTGCTACGGTACACCTCGGCTATGAAAATTAGTGCTATGAGTTTACATTAATTTGCGAAGGTTAACTTTTATAAATGAATAAGTGTTTGAGCTGTACTGCCAAGAGGATAAAAGTAAATATTCTTTTATTATTTCATAACTTGATCTGTGTATTATTTTATTGTTTTATGCTCTTATATTGGGTGATAAAAGTGTTTGTATTACACAGTGTTATTTATTTTTTACTTTCTTCTGCATAAAACATGTAAATGGGGTCTGCCCCTTTCGTCACCACTGCTTGTAGTGCATTTCTCCCCTACAAACGCTGTTTGTCGCTGAGTAGTCGACCCCACGAATTCCCCAGTGTATTCCTCGTGGTCTAGGTCAACCAGCGCCGCCATACATCATGGAGCGGGGGTCAACTACTAAGCCACGCCAACCCCCGCTATTTAAGACCTGACCTCGTGGTGATCTCTCTCTTTCTACCTACACCAACCAGCCAGCAACACCTCCTCCTCCGCCTGCCTGGCGGCCCTCGCTCCCGCCGGCAAGCATGGCGACCCACAAGCTGTCCTCCTCTGAGCACCCTCACCAACCAGCTCTCTCTACATCACTCTTGTAACCATGCTGCCTTCCCAGCACCAAGCTGCATTGTACATCCAATACAACATGTATACAGAGAGCACATTGGGAGTTTCCTTTCTCCACCCCATCCTGAGTGTGAACCAATACATCGTACCCCTCATGCTCTACCCGTTTCGTCACCACTGCTCTACCCGTTTCGTCACCGCGTTCATTCCCATCATTATATACATGAAAGTAACTGTTGCTTGTGATAGAAAATAATAACAAACACAAAGATAATTTATTAAAGAAAATAAAACCTAAAAACATTGTTAATACGCCTACAATCATGTCACTGCTCGATGGTTTATGCGCTGGTGCCAAATCACCTTTATTTGTTCTGTATTTTGTATATTTACCAGATGTTTTAATCGTTTTCTTTATTAAATAATTAATGTTCATGTATAATAACACAATACTTCTTGAGTCGTCTGTATACATGTGTCATATTGAGTCAACTAACTTCCTGTAGAGAGGATGTACTAGTGGGGTACGATATATTGGTTCACACTCAGGATGGGGTGGAGAAAGAAACTCACTATGTATACATGTTGTATTGGATGTGCAATGCAGCTTGGTGCTGGGAAGGCAGCATGGTTACAAGCGTTGAGTAGAGAGAGCTGGTTGGTGAGGGTGCTCAGAGGAGGACCAGCTTGCGGGTCGCCATGGTCGTCGGCGGGAGCGAGGGCCGCCAGGCAGGAGGAGGAGGTGTTGCTTGTTGGTTGGTGTAGGTAGAAAGAGATAGGTCGGTACGGTACGGAGTCATTAGTTATGAGGTGAAAGAAGATTATTAGAGGTTGAAGAAAAAGTGGTGAAACTGAAATACAGTAGGAGTAGAAAGAATCTGGGCTCAACCAGATAGCTTCATCTTTCCTATTAGTGTTTTATCTTTGTTCTGCACCCTTGGGTCGTCAGACCTTTGTATTAATATTGGTTTATTTATATAGTGCTGCTTATTATTATTATTTTTAATTATTTTATTTATTTATTTATTTATTTATTTTTGTACAGTATATATACTGGGATGGAGTTAGTGAGCCCGCCCAGGTCCTTGTGTAGCTGGTAGGGTAGTCACATTTTTGTTTTTTGTTAAGGTGTTAGTTCAGTGTTAGTTGTGTTAGTCTAAAGGTACACTGTATGGAGAGGCCTGCCAGGCTCTTAGTGGAGCTGGTAGGTCACTCATCTTTTGTTCTCTCTATTAATGTTTTGTGTGTACAGTATATTGGGGCAGGAGGTGGTTCAATTACTTTCTTCCTGGCTGATTTAAACCAACTGTGTTCTTGGAATTCTTCGTTGTTTATATTATTTATCCAGTTTTGGTAAGTTTCTGTGTTGAGTTCAGTCACTTTGTTCCAAATACAGGTATTTGCGGCTTTGTTGTGTATTTCTACATTGATTGCTAGAAGGTTTGCTCTCTTGTGTAGCTGTGTAGTGGAGGCCTCCCCTACAAACGCCGTGTGTCGCTGACTGGCCGACCCCCGCGAATCTAACTGTGTATCCCTTGTGGTCAAGGTCAGGTAACCAGCGACGCCGAACAACAAAGCGGGGGCCTACCATCAAGCCACGCCTACCGCGGTTATATAAGACCTCACCTGGCCTTCATCGACCTCTTTCTACTTACCGCCACCAGGAAGCAACATCCCTCAACAGCTCCACACACACGCTCCCTCAGAAAGCTCCTCGCCCTACAGGAACTCTGAGCAAGCTTCGCCCGACTTAGTATGTCTTTAACACTGTGCTGTGCAACAATATATATACGAGAAACACTGTGATTTTTTATTTCTACCTCAATCCTGAGTGTTGGATATATTTCATGTACGTAACTTGTGAGGCCAAATAAGAGCCCCTGACAACCTGCCACGACAGTATGCTACAAATGGTGACCCCTGGAGCCGTGAACACTACACTCCCTTCTGCTGCCTGACTCCTGGAGCTAAGAAGATCGTCCTGCCTGCTGCCAGCATAGGCCAACTGCCTTACCCACACCACATGCTACCCCACTCCTCCACGACGACACCAACCGCACTACGACACCATCTCACGCCCGTGTGATACACTTTTGCAAGAATGGACGGACGAATCTCTCTACCGACATTCAACCACAACGTCGAGGACTGGTTAGTTCATGTGGAAGCAGCCCTCATCGGATCATAAGCTACTGACGAGCAAAAGTACGGCGCCCTGCTCTGTGCCTTGCCCACGGAAGTCGCCACGCATGTATCAGGGACTATTTCCAACCCTCCAGAGAACAACAAATTCGCCACCCTGCGGGACGCCTTAAAAACGCATTACCGACGGACCCGCTCCAGTCTCCTACAGAACCTATCTTCTATCTCCCTTGGAAACTCAACCCCGGGAATTCTCTGGGACGAAATGTGTAGGCTGAACTCCCGGCACACAGACAGACTTCCGGACTCTATCCTGCCCCAGCTTCACGCACAAAAGCTCCCCACACAAGTACTTACCATCCTGTCCGCAGTAGATTACTCGACGACACCTGAACTCTACGCAACCGCGACAGACAGAATATCTAACGAGTGCACGGTTGCGTGCCTGGCGGCCGCGGACAACCCCCCGCCCACACCAGTACTTACATCCGAACTTGTAAGCCGGGTCAACACCCCTCAGCCGAGCAGTACCTCACAAGACGTGAGGGACCTGCTGCAAACCTTGAGCCGCAGTATGAACACCATTGAACAGTTCTGCTCCTCCATACCTGCCTCTAGACCTGTTCCTAACCCACGCACCGCGCCCTACATTCCCCGACGTGCCCTTCCTGCCCCGGAAACCACCGCCAACCCCCAGCACAACGAATATACCCTCTGCTGGTATCACCCGCGTTTTGGCCCCAATGCTAAACACTGTGAGCCCCACTGCACCTACTCGGGAAACGACAAGACAGGCCAAGGCAACCCTCTTATGACCTGTTCACCGTCAACAGTACTCCCATCGCCTTCTACGGCGCACGCACCCTCGCCTTAGGCCTCGGTTTCCCCAAGACTTTATGCTGGTCATTCGTAGTTGCAGACGTGTCTCAACCCATCCTTGGTTTCGACTTCCTCACCTTTCACAAGCTCGGAGTCGACCTAAGCCACCTTCGCCTCTTCCATGAGCCTACAGCACGCAAGATCCAGGGTTCACGTGCCAAAGACACGGACACTATCACCTGTCTTTTGCCGTCCAATAAGTTCTCTCCCCTGATTGAAGAGTTCAAGGAACTTTTCTCACCCCGAGTCTCTCCACCCCCACCACCTACGTCGGGAATTTTTCACCACATCGAGACAAAAGGACCTCCAGTCTTCTCAATCTCCCGCCGCCTGCGCCCCGAGCTCCTCAACGCAGCCAAGGCGGAACTCAACAGACTACTGCAAGACGGCATCATTAGTCCTTCAAAGAGTCCCTGGGCATCGCCTCTTCACATGGTCCTTAAGCCATCATCCGGCGACTGGAGGGTGTGTGGCGACTACAGAGCCCTGAACCTCGTCACCAAACCCGACAGCTACCTTATTTCGCATGTCTAGGACTTCCACCACAAACTTCATGGCAAGACAATCTTCTCGAAGATCGACTTGGAGCTTGCCTTCCACCAGATCCCTGTAGCACCTGCAGATACCCAGAAGACAGCCATCACCACTCCATTCGGACTCTTCGAGTATACTTTCATGAGTTTTGGCCTACGTAATGCAGCACAGACTTTACAGAGGTACATGGACCATATGCTTCGCGACCTCGATTTTGTCACCGTCTACATAGACGACATCCTCGTCGCATCTTCGACGCCTACCGAGCATCATCATCACCTACAACTCCTCCTCCAACGCCTGCAGAACAACAACATGAAAGGTCACAGTGTTAAGTGCGTCTTCGGAGCCCCATCCATTGATTTCCTCGATCACAGTCTCGCCTAGTGGCATCCAACCCCTACCACAGAAG